TATTTTGGGAATCTTCTTTCCTTTCCTTGAACACTGTCTGTCTGTCTTTGTTTCTGTCTCTGTCTCTCTGTCATGCTCTTTTTATCATCTCCTTCCAAGTTGAGGGGCTCCCTGAGAAGGGCCAGGAGCTCGAACTTTGTAAAGAAAGCTGCACTGCCCTTCCCTGCTGTCTGCCAGCCAGCTGCCCTCCCTAGCTGCAGTAGAAGCTATAAAAAGCACAGCCCTTCAACAATAGGTGACATCACCCACCAGGCTGGCGGAAAGAACTGGATTCTGCCAGATGCCAGGCAGAGTTATGGTCCCTTCCCTCCCCTAGGATGAGGCCTATGGGGAAAGAGCTTGGCCAGGCTTCCTGAATCCTGCAGGGATGTAGGGGATAGACTACAAAAGACTCTCATGCCTTTGAGGAGGAGAATTGATCCCAAGGGACACAGCATCTTGACTGTGCTAAAGACTTCCCTGCAGTGAGGGATGGAGAGGAGCTGCTGGAGTCTCCCTGTATCCCTTTAGCGTCCTCTAAATGTTTTGGGACCAGGGAACAATGGGGTCAGGGAGGGATGAGTACATGCTTTCAGGGGAGAGGACCAGACTTGCAGCAAAGGTTTCTTTCTAGGGTCCTTCAGAATGGTGTTCCCAGCTCTTGTAGGGGCCACTGTGTCTGACATATCCGTTGACCTCCTAGACCTGCCTCTGCATGTATGATGCACAGTAAGTTGACCCTTCAGGCTCAAGCATTGTCGGAGGAAGTCCAGGAGAACTTAGGGCAGGAGGGCCAGTCAGGCTTACAAACTGGCTTCCAGGCCCGGGTAGGGAGAACTCTCTCGCTTGAGTGAGTGTTCAGTGCTCAGCAGGAGACACACAGAGAGGACACAAGTACAGAGTGTGCAGCGGATCCAGACTGTCAGCCTGCCATGGTTCTGAACCCAAGATTTCTTCCTTGTAGAAACAGAGCCTAAGTGAGGTAGCAGGGCAGGAGTCTGCTTGGTACAGACTCCTGATGTTTCCTTGGCTTTAGGGTCCAGCTCTCCATGAGCAGCTGAGCTTCACCTCAGGGCCTGTGGGCTCCAAGGCTAATGTCCTAAGCACTGGATAGAAACCCCGAGGGCTGAGGTGGAGTTCTGAGCCTGGCTTCTGGAGCAGCTGGCCTGGCAGCTGTGTGAAAAGCTTAGGTCCACCCTGATCTGAGACTTAATCACCTATCTAGATCAGCAGCCTGGGGGCAGGGGAGATTGTTCCATTCCCTGCAGCGCCCAGCCCGCCTTTTCCCTTCCCTCCTTCCACTTCAGGGCTCTCTCACTCTCTCTCTCTCTCTCTCTCTCTCTCTCTCTCTTGTGTGTGTCCCTTCTCCCTGCTCTTCCAAGAGGTGTGAAGCCTCCATCCAACTGGCTAGACTCATGTCCTCAAAAACTGGACAGTGACCCCTTCAGGCTTCCAACCCCCATTCTTGGGACCCCGCCTGCTTGAGAAGCCCAGGCATCAGAGTTAAGCTTCTCATTTTGCCTGTCATGCCTTATCTGGTCCAACCTCCCATTGCAGCCTTTCTCCTGTTCACTCCCCTAGTGACATCACCCACAGCTTCACCCAGGTTAGAGGACTCTTCTTTGCTTAGGTGCCCTGTGTACTCCTTCCAGGCCCTGGCCTGGGCAAGGGCTCTTCCTGTGTTCCCTTAACCCTTACAATTCTGGTCAAAGTGTAACCATACTGGTTATTAGACTGTTGAGACAATGACCCCTAATAAATTAGATTTTCCATAGGAATCTTATGCTTGGAGAAGCAAGAGGCTGACTCCTGGTACCAGCCAGAGGGGAGAGTTTATCTCAAGAAAAGATTTCATACAGCTTTGATAGCTTATTTGACTACCTTGAAGAAGAGACTAGACCCATCATTGATAAGTCCATGATGGACAGAACCACGCCTTACCAGGAATGCCATCTGAATAAATAATTTACCAAATAAATGTCCTTTCTCTGCATTTCACTATGACTTTGTCTGTTTAATTGGCTTGTTGAGGATGGGTGACCTAGGCTCTCACCCTAACAAACAAATCCCTGCCAAGTCTTGCTGCAGGGTGTTTGATCACATTGTGAACCCCAGATTGTGAACTGTAAAAACCTGTTTCTAATTGTGGTATGACTCAGTCTTTGATCCTAAAGCTTTCTGTTTACTGTAAACAAGTGTGTCTCCACCCCAGCATACACCTTTAATCCAAGAACTTTCTGTACGAAGGATTTAATAAAGTTAACCCTAGGTCAAGAGGGGAAGCAAGAAACCAGCTGACAGGGATAAGTAGAAAGGAGGGGCATTGAGTTGAAGGGTATTTAAGACAGTGTGGAGAAGAAGAAAGAGCTCTTCAGCAACTTGGCCTTTAGCTTTTGGCTCTTTAGCTCTTTGGCTTTTAGCCTTTGGCTCTTTCCTCCTGGGCTTTTGGGTGAGCTGGTAGACCTTTTCTTCCTGTGATATGGGCTGAGTAGGAAGGTCAGCTGGGTCCTTTCTCTGCCTCTCTGAGCTAGGAGGTTTTCATCCTCGCATCTGTCTCATGAGTCTTTATTGGTAAAATCGAACAATTGAGATTTCGTTTTATGTAACAAAAATCTTCCAGGTCCACCGCTCCCAAGTCCCCTCCCTCTGTATCTGAGTTATCATCACTTCCTCTCTTGTCTGTGCCCACACCATTTGTGGAACTCCAGTGTATCCCTGACTCATCTGCATTGTGTCTGCTTTTTTCTAGCTGGTAGGCGCTGCCTCCCTGCTGGGGCTGTTTGCAGAGGAGGACTGAGCAGCAGGCATCTGTGAGGTACCGGGCACAGGGCTAGGCACAGGCTTCTTCATGTCCCTATCACTATTCTGCTATTACTGCCTCTGAAATTAGCAGAGCAGGGCCCAGAGAGCTGAAGCCATATGCTCTTGGGCACCCAGCTAAGCAGTGGCCACCAGATCCCACAGTCGAGTTCTCTTTGGACCTCAGCTGTCCATCAGGACCAGATTGTCAATCAGTGGGTACCAATTGCTTGGCTAGTGTAGCAGGGCTGAGCCTCGAGCTTGTCCGACCACATGCCGTGGATGTCTTGTGCATTGGCTGCATCCAGGAGTGTGAAGCAGCAGCAGATAGAAGAACAGGCTGAGCTAGCACAGGCAGGTCCATCTCACCTTGATGTGGGTAAAGGAAGCTGTGACCTGAGGGAGGCAGTAGTCCCAAAAGCTGGGGCCTCATCTGCTCCTTTCCAGACCAAGATGGGCCTGATTTTCTTTCCGTCTTCTACTGCCCCTTTGGGCGCTACATTTCCCCTCAGCAGTACCTGTTTCCCAGGGTATGAAGTGTCAAGTGCCCGGGCCAGAGTGCATGCAAGAGCCCGGTTTCTCAAGAGCTCTGCTCCCTGCTGGCTGGTGAGTCACTCAGCACTTCAGCAGGGTCAGAGCCAGATGCAACCATATTCTTTCCAGGCTCCCTGGGTGGGAGCAGCCTTGCCTGCCCTCTTTCCAACAGAGCTCCAGCCTTGCTCAGTTCATCAGCATGTTCCCCAGACCTCACCAGCTCCATCTGCCTCCTTCCCAGCTCAGGGAGCAAGCCAGTGATTCCTCTGGCTCTCCGGCCTTTCCTGGCTCCACTGCCTCCTGTCCACATGTCTGCACAGCTCTACTCTTCCTGTGATCTGACTCCTGATAGCTGTCCCCTGGTCACTTGGGCCCTGAAGCTGCTAAAGAAAGTAACAAAAGCAACAGATTTCCTTTACCACCTCCACTCACTGTCCCCTCAGGCACTTTCTTCACAGTCCTGCCCTCAGGAAGCTCTCCAGACGGCAAAGCCTTCTCTGCTTTTCCAGCCTCCTCCACCTCTCTGCCATGTAAGTTCTGAGCCTGCTCCTCTCACCTTCAACTCCATGAATTCATGGAGATGTTACTGTCAGTATCTCCTTTTCCATCATATTTATTCACTCACTCATTCATTTGCTATCTGTCTATCTATTGATCGATCAATCCATCAATCCATCCATCCATCCATCCATCCAGTCAGCCATCTATTTATCTACATATCTACTATCCAACCATATTTCCATCCACTCAATTATCTCTCTGTCAGTCCATGTATCCATCCATTCAACTCACATATGCATTCTCCCATTCCTGCATACATCTATGCACAAATCCTTCCACCCAAGCATCTATCCATTCATTTGATCCACAGCTGAAGGGCAGGAGTTATTGTTTTGTTTTGTTTATTTGTTTTTGTTTTTTTTTGGTATGAGGTTCTCTGTTAGGTGCCAGGATTCAGAGCCAAACAGGCCATACTCTTTTTCCTCTGGGGTTCATAGAGGAAGGCACAGCTCCGAAGTTGTCCGCATTTCCAGTTCTAGTATCCTGGGCTCACAGACTATGCCAGTGAGGACTAGGTAGCCACAGTGGCCTGGCTGAAAAGCAGAGCCTCCTTCACTTGGGAAGAGAGGGACCTCCATATCAGCTTGGCTGACGCTTGAGCAGTGTCTCCAGTCCCTCCTCTTCCCTTACATCTCCATCTTCACCTGCTTTCCAACCATCCACTGTCTCCTCTGCTCTCTCTTCTATTTATTGTTTTCCCACAAGGGATAGGACATAGAAAGTTGAAAGTCCATGCCCCCAGAGCTCAAAGCTCAGGGACCCCCTCCCCTTGCCTTGCCCCTTCTCTCCTCCTCCCCACCTTCCCTTCCCCCTTGTCCAACACCATAGAGCACAGGCAGAGGCTGAGTCACACACCTAGTTTTTTTGGCTCCAATTCTCACCTACAAAGCAACACTTCCAAACTCAGCCAAGCACCGAGGCACAGCTGTGTCCAGCCAAGGTCCTCTCCCGCAGTCCCTTCCTGACCCCTTCCCTCTCCTCTCTATTCTGGGACTAGCTGGAGACAGGGGGAAGATGGGGACAGGGCTAAGAGAACAAAGAGGGTAGTGTGTGCACAGAGGCTCTCTGGGGGAGTGGGGAGGGTGTGCTCACGGTCATTCCTGGGGAACACTCACTTCTCAACTCACCGAAGTGTCCTCGGAGCACGAGGCGATGATGTTGTCAATGAAGGGGTTCCATTTGATGTCCAGCACATTGCCTTGATGACCGCATACCTTGGGGTAGTTTGGCTCAATTCTACCTGTCTGCAAGGAAGAGACAATGCATTAGTGTGGTGTCCCCACTCAGAGTGGCTCACAGAGGAAAGGTCTTCACCTGGGCTGTCTCTGGGGCAGAACCCCCCGCTGGCTGGGCTCCTCAGTCCCTTTAGTTCCTTTCTGTGTCTTGAGGGAAAGTCATAGGCTGTTTTGTTCTCTGTAACCCAGCCAGTTGTTGAATTTTCTTAGCAGGCCGGAGCCACAGCCAGGGCCTTGAACATTCCTACTAGGCTCTAATAAATATGTAAAGGCTATTACCCATAACAGGGGGTAAGAAACCCTGCCTTCTCCAGCCCTGAGCTCAAATTCCTTACACGCTCACATGGGTTCTACCCCTCACTCAGAAGAGGTGGGGTACTTCAAGGCCAGCTATAGCCCTCAGTAAGTCAACATAATCAATGCTTGAACCCTGCCACTTGCAATGTTTTTGTCTGGAGGATACCTTGGGGGTTCTCTCTGATGGGAATTATGCTATTTTTTGGAGTGTCGGCATGTTCATGTGGGGGGGGGAGTTGAGGTTAGAGGTCAACCATTCATGTTCCTCAGAAGCCATCATCTTCTTTTTAGAGGCAGGATATCTCACTGTGACATGGGCCTGACCACTGGGACTAGATCGGCAGGCCACCGAGCTCCAGGAATGCTCTCATATCTGGTGTCCCTAATCTCTGGAGTTGTAAGCATGTGCTGCTGTGCTCCCATCTTTCATGTGGGTTCTGGGGATTAACCCAGGCTCTCATGCTTGCAAAGGAAACACTTTTTACTGAATTGAATCATCACAGTAGCCCCATTAATGTCATCGTTTGTTTTAACTTATTTTTATTTCATATTTATGAATGTCTGTGTACCACATGCATGCCCAAAGAAGACAGGAGTGTGTCAGATCCCCGGAACTGGGGTTAGAGGCAGTTGTGAACCACCGTATAGGTTCTGCGAATCAAACACGGGTCATTTGGAAGGGCAGCTGGTGCTCTTAACGCTGAGCCATCTCTCCAAGGGCATCTTTTGTTTCATCAAGGCGAGCTCTTACTCTTTAATAGAACTCATTTTGTAGCCCCAGCTGGCCTGGAATTCCTGGAGCTCCTTCTACCAGCTTTCCAAGGGCTGGGATTACAGGCATGCGCCACCACATTCAGCCTATTTGGCTCTAGGTGGGTATGGGATCAGCGCTCTGTGCAATCCAGGCCAACACTGTTCCAGCCAATCTACATGCCCAGCCCTACACTATGATTTTTAAGCTGAGCATGTATGACCCCAGGTTCTACCAAGGCTAGGCGTTTTATCCTCAGCTCTCACAACAAACTGTGAATTAGACACGAGGAAACGAAAGTACAGAAAGGCTAATTAATTAATGGCCCCCAAATCAAACAGCTGAAAGTGAGGCTGGGAGCTCCAAACAGTCTGATTCCTCAAGGCAAGCCCTTTGAACCTTGCTGCTTTCAGCTGGCGCCGCCTTCCTGGACCCCCCCCCCCCCCCCCCGCCCCAGTTCCCCTCAGCTTGGCAGCAGGATCTTGCACCTCAGTGCCCTCCCTCTCTTCCTCCCATTGGCACGCCTCACAGCTCATCTCAAAGCACGAGTGTTTGCTGAGCAAAGCTGTCTGCATTAAGTTTCTGGCACCCAGCCCAGCCCAGGCCACTCTGAGAGGCACCAGGAAGGCCGTCAGGAACACTGAGCTAGGAGCTAGCAGGGATGTGCTTCCCCTGGAGGAGAGATGGGAGCCATACTCTAGGGATGAAGCAAGACTGTGTGCATTCCACAGCAGGCATGTGGAGATCAGAGGACAATTATGGGAGTTTTACCTGTGTATGAATTCTGGGGCTAGACCTCAGGTCATGAGGCTTCTGTTAGATGGCAAGCACCTTTCCCTCCTGAGCCATTTTACTGTTAATCAAGATTTCTTTGTGTTGAAGACAGAATCTGACATAGCCCAGGCTGGCATCAAACTTGATAGCCACGGCTAACCTCGTGCTTCCGGCTCCTGAGTGCTAGGATTACGGGTGTGTGCACCACATCTGGGTTTACACGTTGCTGTGGATAAAGCTAGGGCTTGATGCATGCCAGGCGAACACCCTAGCAACTGAGCCACACCCCCAGCCCCCAAAAGACTCTCGGTTGGACACAGTGGGTAGATGTAATAGACACAATTGACTTTGTATACACAGTGAAACAGTTAAGACTGATGAAATTTTAATACGCTGTACCTCAGCTTTTATTATAATTTATTTAATTGTAAGTTAATGCGATTTAATTTTTAATAAAGGCTGTGCTTAACAAATGGGCTTTTAAAATTCCTAGAAACTTAGCTGTGGGCTGGTGTGCACACCAACACAGCACCCCGCTCCTAGAACTTCTAAGGGGCTGCTCATTTGCAA